GATGAGTTAGGATATATTTGGAACAATTCGGCGTACGAACATATCTTCATGTTTATGAGGCAGCATTTGAGGAGCACAAGGTCATGAAAAATCGTCCGTAATGAGTAGGAATGGCTCTAGTGAAGAAATGATACGAAAAACATCCAGCACTGCAGACGCCCAAATACCATACCAGCTTGCAGCCGTGGTCTGCTTAAGCGCCTCCCCTCCCCCGAGCAACTGGGAATAAGACGACGGTACAATACGCCGTGAAATCATTGCGAGGTGTCTTATGCATATACAATTGAAAAAACAAGCCAAATATGTTTTTACGCAGTCAGTCATTTGAACCTCTGTTCCAATCTACATTCTGCAGTAATATTTATGACTGAACTCAGCCATACCACCGGTCACGTTACTCCGTGCTTCTGGGACTGAGACTGTATGGAGAGATGCAACAAAAAAAATTGAAGGATAATGAATATCTGAACAATTTCGCACTAGATTTGACACATCCTATCCTCCGTAGACTCAGGCCCTTGACGACCACCTAATTTACCCTATCAATCGGTATATAAATAATTTCATAAACAAGCGATAACCGCAGCGATACTCCTGTACAAGTGTAGTTGAAAGCAATAAAATCTGAATGGAGTGGCTTCAAGTTAACGATGTCATACGTTTTGAACTTATTTATCGTTGGAGGATATAGCTCATCGGCGAGGTGCTCCTCATGCTCAAAACTGCTCGAGTTCAACGGTCGTTAAAGGCACATTCCCTACTGTCGATAGGTTTGCCTAAAAGGGGCGTCACAAAAAAAATTTTGCTGGAATCCAAAAAGCGTCTGATGACAAAGGTTTCCAAAAAATAGTAAGAACTCGAGATAAAACCTTTGATTTAACTTACGACTTAGTCCTCGTCCAATAATAAACAACGTGCAAGTTTCTTCCAATCCCAGTTGTTCCATAAATGTGATCTTCAAAACCAGTTGCTCCCTACTATAATTGCAACGGCATATTTCTAGGTATGACGTGTCGGTGACACACATAACCGATCACTTGAAAATGAGCAGTCAGAAAATTAGCCCCGCGCCAACGTAATGAGCACAACCATCGTCATAATCTGTTCAGTACAATGGCAAAATGATGCTCAAGATCGCGCAGCACTATTTAAATCCAATTTTGCAGATATTTATCGTACAATTCAAGCAGGATGTCATTGCCTCCCTTTGCTTTGATTTATTCTGCATCGTTCTATCGGAATTTCCACCCGACTTGTTCCAGTAACTGTCCTTTTCAAGGGGGATAGACGGTGAAGCCAGAAAATATTTTATGTGGTTTATTCATAGATCAACGGACCACGTCCTCTCAATCGTTCTGTCAAGAGTTTTCTTACCGTAGACAGATTTGCGTTAATGTTCTAAGGAATGGCATATCAAACGCTGATTGTCATCGCCTGGTTAACTGGCTGAGGAAAATACTTTCAAAGTACTGCCATATGGCCGCATTTTGGTCACTGGCCGCTGTCCACATCGGGGTACGAAAGCGTACCGTAACGCATACCTTCATCTTTCATGACCGCTTCTCATTTGGGGTTGCAGAGGCAGACACGCATCAGTCAGTGCTTCTATCTTCTGTGCCAGAGTCTGGGCCTCGGCAGAAGAGAACCGGAGTCTGGAACAGACTCCTTCCGCATATGTACACCAGATTAGTCTTGGCCGTCCCCTGGGCCTTCGGCCGGTCAGATCTGCAAGGAACAGTTGTTTAGCCTTCTTTTCTGGAGGCATCCTCAGCACGCAACCGTGACTTGGCAATTTGAAGAAACAGCGGCTG